GTCTGCTTTCACATATTCTCCATCTCTGAAGTGTGCAGAGCATCCTTTATCTTCACTTCCTTTACTAACTTTTGCTCTTGATTCAATTTCTTTTCAATGTGCTTTCTTCTTTTCGATCTAATAACTAAATATAAACATAATGTTATTGAGATAACTAATAAATGAGGACTAGAAATAGGGACAAAAGTGAGAAAAATATGGAAAAATAAAGGTAACAACAATGGCATTTTCAGGCTATAAGCAATGTTATTTGTCTGGTAAGGATGGTGAATATTGCATTTTTAAATCAGTTCCCCACTTTCTGTGGTCAAGCTTTAGAGATACCCAGTTAAAAATATATAATTTATAGTAACTATCAATGGAGTATAACCTTCAAAAAGTATGAATCACCATTCTGTATACCTGTAACATATAACACTGTACATCAACTATACTTCAATTTTTAAAATGATATTGTAAAAAAACATAAATAAAGTTTTAAAAAATCAGAGAAGTTATAATTCAATGCAATGAAAAGACACTGAAAAACTGTTCTCTGAGGGCACAAGGGCCGTCTGCTTCGGGGAGCACCAGTGACTTCTATTCCTTGACCTCTCAGCTCTTTCTGACGGTCCAGCTCTGGGATTCTTGGAGGGGAGGTCCATGCAGGGGACGTTAGTGTGATTGAATCAGACATTGTATGTATTTTTGCTCTAGAATTTTTTTAAGCAAGTATCCAAGAATCTCAGAACTCTACAGAAAGCAGGTTTATGTGCACATATACACTTTTCTCTCCTCACGGGGACTTGCAGGTGTGGTGGGCTCCCGGGGGCCTTTGACTCGGGGCAGTAACCTCCACTTTGTGGGCCTGGATCCCATTTCCATGTCAGACCGAGGCAGATGGTGCAGGAGGGACATCGACCTGTCTGTGTTCAAAACTCAGCAATAACGCTGCACAAATGGTACATTTAAGGGAAATGTTTAGTATGGGAAAGGTTTTGTTTCCCAAACTATTTTCAGTCCTCGAATTGCCCTGCAGAAGGAACTAAGCAACCACAGCTGTTTGTCCTTCTGTGTAATCTGATCGGACAGGTCATTTCTGTAGGTGTGGCCGTAAACATCTATCTTTCTTACCTCAGACTCCATCAACTCCCACTTAGCTCTGCCTTTGAAAACCAGACCATCATGGCCAGCTCAGCTTTCATGCGACTCTGGACCGGACAAAAAAACTGGCTGCCCCTCTACCTGAATGAATGAACTTTTCCAGTTCCTTCTCATTCTCGGGAAGCAGATACGTGGACTCGTCCAGGCTGTCATCCTCGGGGCTGTCCTCCTCGTCTGCTGATGGCACCCTGATATTTTTATAAAGCAATGCCAGCTGTTGTCTCTCCTCAGCCTGCGCCAGTCGACTGGAGAACAATGCAGATGAATTTAAAAGCCCAATTTTCACAATAAATCCTCACATCTTAAATTCTGTGACTTTTTGATGGAAAAGGGTCACTAGTACACGGTGGTAGTTGGGGGAGGGAGGCAGAAATAGACTGTGAAACCAAAGTTTTCACAGATCTCAGATTTGTGCTGACAAGCAGAAAAGGAGTAACTGATGATGCCAAGTTGCATAGGAGCCAAGACCAGGGTGGGATGAATGAGGCATTCATGTTGGGTACAAAGCGCCACAATCAAGTTGAAGATCTTAGTGCAGTATTTTACAAAAGAAAAATTAATGCCAAGAAATCCACAATGAACAGAAGGTCAACATTTTCAGGAAAGACAGCATAGGTGTTTTCCTTTGGTTCAGTTTCCAATATGATTTGCCTCAGCAGTGTTCCTGAGCTTGTATTTAAAATGTTGATATTTTGTTTATTATGGATTTTTGAAGGCATGAATTTAGATTTTTTTAAAATACTGTATTAAATTATTATTTATCTTGATTATCAAATTTTTGGCACCCCCCCTTAAATTTTGCACCTGAGGTGAGCGCCTCGCCCACGTCACCCTGGGTCCAACCTTGGACATGGATCTTTGTTTGAAGTGGAAATGCGCAATAGTGTCTTACCTTTTCCTAACACACTTACATTCTTCACTGTGCTTGACTCGTGTAGTAACTAGTAATTTTAGAGCTAGTGTATCTGTGCTCTCAGGGGCTGGGACGGAGGGAAGGGACAGGAGGAACAGTCCAGAATCATGCTGTGCAGCAGGGGGAACTGGCCTGACTATAATCAGGAGGTTGGTGCAGGAGCAGGATTTGGGTGAGGAGAGTGAGGTGCTCCCTTTAGGTGCAGTATTTAAGGGGGTGCCAGAACCTCAGTAATGATGATAAATATTTTGATTTAATATTTTTTAAAATTGAAAGGAATGGGAAAAATCCATGATAAACCAAATATCAAAATTTTAAAGACAGGATCCAACAGTGCTGTGATTAACCACACAAAAGCCTGAGGCAAAGGGGAAAATATGAGTCTATATGTACATGTTTTTATATATTATGTTATGGTTATTCTTTTCTAAAACTTTATGAATGTAGTTGAGAATATATAAAAAAATTTAAAAATGCATAATCAAAACTTGCAGCATTACTTTAAGTTGACATACTTTATATCAAAAACAAAATTTATTATAATTTTACTTTCCTGGTTTAAATGAAATCACACTCACCGATATATTTTCAAAATCTGCTTCTGGGAAAAATGAACTGCTAAAAATTACATGAAGACATGTACTTTGGGCACACATTTTTCCTTTTGCCCTAGGCTCTTACATGGCACCAAGGGTAACACAAATGCAAAAGCTGTAAATGTTGACATTAGCTCAGTAACTTAATTGGGCACTGAAAGTCCAGGAAGACACATTTCAGCGAGTTATTTTAGAAATCTATCTGTTAACATCTTTGTCAATACTAATGAAATAAACTGAAACCACAATTACATAAACTGAGTCAAAGGAGATCACCACATTAGATATTCTGGAGCCAGACATGCTGGTGACACTCTCTCATTAGCAAAATTTCTTCAATTTTACTTTTAATTTTGCCTTCATTTGATGTACACCAAGGTGGTCCTAAAATGGCTACCTTAAAAAACATCCCACACATGGCAGTATATTCCCCATGGACATACTTAATTCTAATAGAGTAAATAATTTAGTACTTCCTCAGTTTGATGGGATACATTTGAATCCCAGAACTAAATCCTAGACTAGGAATCAACATGTTGGCACTGATCAGAGCAGCACAATGTCACAGTGCGGCTCACTTTTGTCTAATACTAACTTCAAAGTGATCGCAGAGCAGGGAGGGTGTAGCTCAGTGGTAGGGTGTGTGCTCCACATGCATGAGGTCCTGGGTTCAATCCCTAGTACCTCCATTTAAATAAAATTAACCTAAGTGTTCATCAACAGATGACTGAATAAAGAAGTTGTGGTATAATTATACAATGGAATACTACTCAACCATAAAAAAGAATAAAATAAGGCCATTTGCAGCAACATGGATGGACCTGGAGATTGTAATTCTAAGTGAAGTAAGCCAGAAAGAGAAAGAAAATACCATATGATATTGCTTATATGTGGAACCTAAAAAGAAGACACAAATGAACTTATTTACAAAACAGAAACAGACTCACAGACATACAGAACAAATTTATGGTTACCAGGGGGTAAATGGGGTGGGAAGGGATAAATTGGGAATTCGAAATCTGCATCTCTTGGGGAGTGATGGAAATGTTAGGTATCTTGATTGTGGTGGTAGTGGTTTCATGGGTGTGCACACCTATCAAAATTCATCAAATTGTACATCTCAAATATGTCTAGTTTACAATGTAGAAATTGTACCACAATAAAGTTGTTTTTTAAAAACTTAAAAATAAATAGATAAACCTAATTACCTTTCCTCAACCAACAAAAACAAAAAACAAAAAACAAAACAAAAACAATGATTCACAGAACTTGACTGTAAGCTTTATCGCTGCAAACAAGATGAAATGTCTTCCCCAAACGCCAGTATTACCCCAGAGAGCCTTGATGATAAGTTTCTAGTCAAAGAGGGAATGGTCACTCTTTTCTGCTTTGCACTGTTAAGATTCCTCCCAAAGTATCAAGTTCACATTTTGGGGGGATGCCAGCATCTCAGATAGTGGCATTCAAATGTTTTTTTAATGGAGGGACTAGGGGTTGAACCCAGGACCTCAGGCATGCTAAGCAGGCATGCTACCACTGAGCTCTACCCGACCCCCTAAACATTTCTGATCATGGTCTCCAGTAAGAAATAAGCTTTACCTCACAATCGTGTGTCTGAAAAGATTGAGAAACAGTATTTACTTTAATACATGTAATGCTTTGTAATATTTTCTATTCTACTAAATTGTACTCTCTCCTGTTTCTTTTTATATTTTTCTTTTATATCATGACCCAACATGAACACAGTCCGTATTCTAAAAGACACTGTCTATCATGTATAATGACTATAATGAGTTTGTGATTATAAGAAATGTCATTATTATTATCATTACCATCACAAAATAATTACCTAGTTAACTAGTTACTTCTTACGTAAGGGTGGTGAAGGTTACCCAGCACATACTTACTAGATCATATAGGAAATAGCGATGCCACACAACAGGGCGATGCTGAAGGCTACCCCCGCGACTGTAACTACTTGAACAAGAGCAGGTCTATGAGGAATCAGTGCTAAAAATGGAAAGAAAAGACGTTCTCATAAAATCCTGTTTTAGCTGTGACTATCAGTGAGTATGTTACTCATATTGTTTTTGAGAGAAAACCAGGAATACCCTTAAAAATAGCATTCTTAATTCTAAAACATATGGAGGCTAGATTGCACAGCCTGAGTGAACAAACATACTTTGAATTCCCACCTAAGCCCTGACTCCTTTTCCATCTGCCTCCTGTCTTTGGTCCAAGCCCCTCTGATGCCCCACAGAGACTGGTCCCCGACTCAGCACGGCAGGCAGCGCCGCCATCGAGGGGGCTGAAAGGGGAGGATCCTTTGTTTTCCAGTCAGGTGCTGCCCCGATGGCCTCAGGCTGTGAACTGCTGTCATGAAAGGACATCACAGGGCACTTCAGGATGCAGTTTCACAGACCTGTGTTCCAGGTGTTGGTGTTCGGGACCACTGAATGCCCCACAAAACCACGGAGCTTTGTAGCCTCAGGGGTGTCCGTCTTCCCATTACCTGAATCAAAAAAATAAACCACCAGAGTGACCGTGCAAACCGAACGAAGGAGCAAAGGGCAAAGCAGCGAGGTTACCCAGCCACGTGTGAAACCCTGACCCGCGCTCGACCTTCCTGCGCTTTGTCCCTTCACTGGTGCAGGATGAGGAGTTCAGCGGCTGAGCTGAAAAATACTTTGATAACGATAATTTGGGGGCCGGGGATTAACAGACACACATTACTGTATACAAAGTGAACAACAGGGACCTGCTGTACAGCACAGGGAACTACGTTCAATTTCTTGTAATGACGTATAATGGAAAAGAATCTGGAAAAATACTTCCGTATGACTGAGTCGCTTTGCCGTACACCTGAAATTAACACTGTAAGTCAACTACACTTCAATGATAAATCTTCTAAAAGGGCCAAAGAACGTGGGCCTTCGGACACCACGGCCTGGACCCCGCTGGGCTTCGTGGTTGTGGGGCTGGGGGGGGGGGTGAAACCCCATCGCTGAGCTTTAGGAAGAGTCGTGGTATCTTTGGGGTGGACGGACGTATTAACCGTCCGTCTGTTTCTCTCTGTATTCCCGGTGCTTTGACATCTCGCGCTATTGTCTGACCTGCCCGGAGCCGCAGCGTTACTGATCCGACCACGCCGACGGGGGCTCGTGCGGGCGGCCCGGACGCGACGACCCACTGCTGTACGGGCCCAAGGCGGAGTGTACGGGTACAGCAGTGTACATCTCAAAT